CTCTGGCATTCGACTTCCTTGTTGGTCGATATGGCGGTCGTCCATTCGATATACGTCGGAAGCACATGAGCCTTTTGCTGGCAAGTCGAGATCGGAGTTGCGACTGGAGACGCCGCAACATTGGGAGGTCACAATTCTATTCAATTTCTGTGTTCTAGGGGTTAGGTCAACTTGATACCTGAAGCCCGAGCTGGGCTACATAATTTCCATGTGAGACAAGATAGTGCACAGATATGCAGCTCGGTCGAGGACAAAAGAACAAGTTTATCAATAAACAATGGAAAGCGTAACTCACGGAGGTCAGACAAACTTGCAATGATCGCGTAGTAGAGTAAGACTCGACTGCTTTTTAGCTCGCTATGCAGAAAGCTAGAAGCAAAGACAAAGGCCCAGGAGATCAAGAATTCCATCCATATGGTATGCTTGTGGCCTCCCTCCCTGCTCGTCGAGTGTCTCGGTGTGTCGTTGATTTGCTCCGAGCAGTTCATTATGACAATGCAGTATTGGTGTTGACAGACATGGCCATGTTGCTATGTATCTAGTCTCGTCTTGTGCTTTCAACATCGGGGTCCCTGATGAGCAGAAAACTCAAGCTGCGTAAATGTGCTACCGAGCAAAGGCCTTTCTTTCGGGCTGATAGTTCGCCTGGCACCGCTTATGACGTAGGCAAGTAGTAGACAACCACAATCACGTCCAGTAATTGTAATCGAGCGGCTCACACGTCCGTAGCGTGACATATCCTCTCAATTGATTCACTACTCCCTCTCTATGTAGACATGGAGACCATTTATTATTATCTCGCGTATGGGAACTCGGAAGCTACCTGTTTGCAATTCAAGGCAATAAATAGGCGGTGTAGATAGTTTTCTATGATCTCTGCGGAAGACGATATTGATTTGGGTGATGTATATGCTTGTTCGCCGGTCGTTCTGGCATGGAGCTTTATAATCATAACGGATGTAGCTTAGTTCACGGAGAGAGCCCTTCATACTAGGTAGAAAGGACAGGAGGCTATGTTGTCAAACGAGGTAAACCCTATGGATGCGACGTAGTTAAGTACATGTCATGTGCGATTACTGTTTCAGGTGAGCATACACATTCTTCCCTGCCATTATCCATTATACGATGGGAGCTAGACCATCATTGTGGCGGTAACGAGCAAAGTACTAGTAGATGCCTCCTCAACAACAGTACGAATACCAAGTGACGGAGACTAAAAGCGTGGGAAAAGTTGCCCGTATTACACCACCTCGCATCATGACAATATAGTTCCTGCTCAACCTATCCTTGTCCTTGTATTATCCGCTTTCAGATCCTCTCTGGGATTTAGCCTTGGTCTTGCCGCTGGCCCATAGGATCCTCCTTATCATAGAGAGCCTGGGCTCGGGGCAAGGCTTCTGGAGGGCACGGCAACGCGACCGAACACCGACCCTGAATTTTTGCGCCAATCCGGAGAAACGCGTCTCTGCAACCAAGAGAGGCTCTCTAATAGCTCGAAGAGCCAGGGTCATTCGCGGTAATGAAGAGCCGAAATAGAGCTTCCTACCCCGCGATATCCCCGCATAAACGTAGATCTCCAACACTGGGGGCCAGATCAAAGCCAAGATACGACAGATCTACACATGGCATATAGTTACATTGTACATAAAGGATGTCCTGCCGCGATAAATTGACTTGTTCCTCACACTACTATCTTTATGTAGACATGATTGTATCATATCCAGCAGCAACCTCTGGTCAAAGTTCATGAAAGCACGGCATCGTTATTTATTTAGTGATATATTCTCTTCGCCCAGCCTTAAAAGTTTGGAGGCAAGAGGCAATAGGCGTGCGCAACCAAGATACTCACCATCAATAGAAGTCCACTCAAGATCCGTGGACCTAGGTCCTACCTCATTAGATTACTCTTGGCGGCTTATCGTTGTAGAAGATACCGGCAGGATGCATCTAAGCATAGTGTTTGGCAGGGCTAGGCTCCTCTACCCTCTTCTTCTACATGTGTCTGCTGCTCTGATTGCCAACCAGACCTCCGAATACCTTTTGATCGAGAATGATAGGTTCTCGGCTCGAGTCAACAAGTCAATTGGGGCAGTCGACTTCCTCATACTCGACGGACAGGACTTGTTAGGTTCTCGATCCTATATTCCCAACACGCCGGGAGGCTCATCGGGCAATGGTCAATATGGCATTGGGCCATACCTGGATTGCTACTGCATTCCAGCTGGCACATACACGCCTGGCTACATCAATGCGACCTATCAATTATTCCGGGGCGTCGATTCATCTGGAGTTGCTTATGGCGGGATCTCGATGAGCGAAACCTATCCTCCAACAGGCCAAGTCTTAGAGCAATACTGGTTTCTCAGGGATGGTGAAACCGGACTTCATACCTTTAGCCGCATTGCTTATCACAACGAGACTACGCCGTTCCTCCGGAATTTACAAGAGTTCAGGACCCTCTTCAGGCCAAACACTCCGCTGTGGACACACCTAATCACGAACGACAAGCTATTTGCCCCCTTACCAGTGCCAAATCCTGCTTCTGGTGACATCACAAACGCCGCCACTGTCCAGGACGCAACCTGGTACATCGGCAATCGCACAAATGACCCATACGCTGACTTCTTCAGTGACTACTACACAAAATACACCTTTTCGGCTGTGTGGCGTGATCATAGTGTACACGGATTATTCAGTGACGGGTCGCTTAGTGACGATAATTCAACATTTGGTGCATGGCTTGTCATGAACACCAAAGACACTTATTTCGGCGGTCCCATACATTCCGACCTGGCCGTGGATGGTATTGTGTATAACTATATTGTGTCGAATCACCATGGGGACGGTACCCCTGATATCACAAACGGCATGGATAGGACCTTTGGGCCACAGTACTATCATTTCAATAGAGGCCCTGTTGGGGGGGATTGGCTTCCGTTGCGCGACGAAGCGTTGAAATACGCGTCTGCAGAGTGGAATGTCGACTTTTACGATTCCATCGCTCAACTAGTACCCAATTATGTGCCATCTTCCGGACGTGGATCATGGAAAGCCAGAGTACAGCTACCTAAAGGGGCAAAGAGACCTATTGCCGTCCTTGCACAAAACGGAGTCGACTTCCAAGATAATGTCCTTGATAGCACGGCGTATCAGTATTGGGCCGAAATTGCAAGCTGCAATGGTGTGGTAGAAATCGGTCGTATTAAGGCGGGTACTTATAGACTCACGATTTATGCCGATGGCATCTTCGGTGATTATATCCAAGATAACATCGTGGTCACATCGGGTCGAACGACAGATAGTGGCCACATTGCCTGGATGCCGGAGAGTGCTGGCTCAGAACTATGGCGAATCGGTACCCCGGACAAACAAGGCGGCGAGTGGAAACACGGCAACACTCCTGACTTAAACCACATTGCCCATCCACCCGAGTATTCTATTTATTTCGGAGCCTATGATTTTATTGACGACTTCCCTAGTGGTGTCAAATTTCATGTTGGGTCTAGTCACGAGGCCGATGACTGGAATTATATTCACTGGAGTGTATTCGGTGGTTATGCTAACTTTCGCCGTCCTGAGCAGGTGGAAGGTCAGGGTGAGATCAACAATTGGACCATTACATTCGATTTAGATCCCATGGAATTGAAAAACAAGTACACAGCTACGTTCACGATACAACTCGCCGGTGCCAAAACAGCCAGTAAGCAACTTTGCAACCTACTTTCTTTTCTACACATATGTATTCGGGTTCAGAGTCATTTATCCATTTCTCGCAGTACTTCACTATCAAAATATCTCAAAATAAGCCTTGCCCACACCTCACCGTAGCTACAGGGTAGTGACTAACTCTTATATCGTAGTGGGCAATACAGATGTATACAATGCTTCGCAACCATACAGCAATTTGCCTCTTGCGGTGGTGGTCAACGGTTACGAGCTGGAACCTTGGGTGATCCCGTGCGCTTTGTTCATTGATCTTATTGGTAGCTTACTGATGCAACTGTGCTACAGCTATTATCATTCATCGTCCTGCGGCGTTCGTAGTGGAATCACATGCTATCAAATCAGCAACAAATTCGTTTTCCCAGCTACTTACCTGACCAGCGGCCTCAATGCCACGAACACCATCGTTCTTAGCCTCCCATACAATGCTACCGACTATGAGAGTGCTTTATTACCGAGAAGTGTGTACGTTCAATATGATGCTTTGCGGCTAGAAGTTTTATAAGTACGAGTCACTCGGGGGGCGGGAAGATGTGATGATTGTCAACTCAATAATTAATCTCAGCTAGAATAGGACACGCAACGGGCATGTGGCATTGTGCGAGGGTTCCACTCCATATGCAGCCAAGATATGCGTCGATGTTTATCGTTTCTATAATAGAATTGGGTGGACATTTAGTAAAGAGCTATTTGGTACATTGATATATTGTTGTTCGTTGCTTTCGGGACTGCGGTTTAGGATTGTCGTCCTCTTGGGTTTCGTTTCAGGGTGACGGCAGTTCAATGTCCTAGAGTCCATTATCTCACCAGATGCTCATAAGATGTACTACCTGGACTAGAAATGCTCGAGTCAGTTAGCTTTGTCATTAACAGGTCAATCCTGCAATACTCGTCATCCTTGAGGAGGGTGCTTATAGAATGACTTCGCTATGCACGGTAAAATCATTACGCCTCTCGAAGTCCGCATACGCTAATTATCGATGTATGTTAGCAACGGCAACTAGAGGATTTTTTTTGCTACCTGGTGTATTTTGACGGTATGCGTCACGCAGCGCGCTTCAAAGCCTCGACAACCCCGGCAAGGCCAATATGCGCTTTTCAGACCTTCTACATGCTGCGACCGAGAAGGAATAAACTTAGAATTGAGTGATCTTGCAATTGTGGAGCAAGTCCTCTCAACGCTCCACTGCCCTGAACGATATTCACAGGGAGGCAAAAAATTAGAGACTTGTGGTATTTCCGAGCACAAATCCAGCAACAGCGAGATCGCTGCAGTTTTATTGACCATTGAGGACAGAGTCTATAAGTTCTGCGTGCCTAAGTAGATGCTTATCTTCCAGCCTAAAGCCTACAATCTGCACAGCGACAGGAGCGCCATGCATCAACTCAGGATCATCTATGATACGTGGTGAGTTACTATCCAAACAAAAACATCGACAGAATTGTACATACACATAGCCTGGTTATGCAGGTCCGCGTCATCCAATGGTCGAAATGCTGTGTCAACAGGATCCTTTTCCTTATCTGCCTGCGTGAACGGCAGAATAACCGCAGGATACTATTTCGCGACATGATTAGTTGCATTCCACAAAACGAGGACGCGAGACTCACATCAACACAGTTCCACGCCACAGTATATATATCACTCAGCCAATTGCCCGGTAAGACCGCTGTGTGCGGACCAGCTGGCGTTAGGATGACATCGCAGCCGACTCGCTTCCACTCGTCTAACATCTCCTTTTGAATCTTGCCCTTTTTGGCGTTCCAGTGCCATGCCTCTTCTTGACTCTTACGAGGCAGATCCCAAAACCCGATCTTCTTGACCGAGGAGACAACCGGCTCGCCTACCTTCTCTAGCTCTTGTTTAGGGTACGACAGTCCATCTAATGTGAACAGCTGCTCTGTCACCTTGCGGATTTCGAGAAAATCCGGTGGGTTGAACTCTCGGACCTCGAAGCCTGTAGCGCTAAGTTTTTGAACGGCTTCGCGTATAGCCCGGCGGACTGGAGGATGAGGTGTCAGCCCGGACTGGTAGATCACGCCCACAACGGGCGGCTTCCTCGCTGGTTCGAAGGACATCTCCATGACATTTGGAATCACGGCTGGGTCCAACAACCAGGGCTTAGTATCCCGAATCACACGAGCGAAAAGACTTAGATCCCGCATGGAGTGGCCCATTGGACCAGCAACGGCAGGAATACCAGTGTTACTACCTACCCACCCCGAATATGAATATCCAATCATGGGTATGATGCCGAAACTGGGCTTATATCCGTAGACGCCGTTCGCTGCTGCAGGAATGCGAATGGATCCGCCAACGTCGGTTCCGACCCCGAGCGCACTGCACCGGAAAGCCTGCGATGCACCTTCACCGCCGCTGCTACCCCCGCATGTTAGGTGGCTGACGCAGGGGTTTTTTGTCCTTCCGAAAACATTGTTATCGCTCTCTGCTACCAGCATCGTCTGGGGAACGTTTGTCTTGGCGATGATAATGGCGCCGGCGTTTTGCAGCAGCTCTGCCAGCGGAGACGTCTTATCCACAGGCTGGAACACCCGCGAGAGATAGCCGTTGGATGAATCATAACCCTCGAAATGAAAGCATTCTTTAAAGGTCATGGGTACGCCGTGAAGGGGACCGACGACCTTCCCCGTGCTGCGTAACACCTCATCGAGGCGCTCGGCCTGCTGAAGGGCCTGCTCGAACATGATCTCCGTGAGCATATTACAGGTCTGGTGGCCGATAGCTGCGCGCTTACAGAAGGCTCTCACGACCTCGACACTCGTGAGAGTTCCCGCGCCGATCGCCCCCGCCAGGGAGGTGGCATCGTAGTTGTCGCCCGTAATCTTAAGCTCCCTCTCGGTCAAAATTCCGCATGTCTCAGCCACGGACCGGACATCACGAATGTCTTCTGGTGGATTCTCCTTGAGCTTCCAGGCCTCGGGAATTCGAGAATTCTGCTCAATTTTCTTAGCATCCTGGAGGGCTTTCCAGGTTGCTGCTGGCTCTGTTTTGGCGATCATGACCAATAACCTATCAGTTTTGGGTCTCAGATACTCTAAAGCTTAGCACATCAATGAACCGCTTGTAGAGCGAATGGCCACTGTTTAGCGGCGTGTGTTGAGATTTCCTGGTGTAGAAAACATTTACTTTATTCTTCTCCAGGAAGGCCAACGACCGATTACCGGAGAGCCTGGGGCTTTCCATGTGGGCATCATTAGGCATGGGTAGATCATTCGAGATAGCTAATATCGAACTTCTCCTCTCCGAGCAAAGAGTCGGAGGGTCGCTAGTTAATTGTCTCGAGCCGTGGTTGATTGGCCTGTAGCCTATCTCTCCTCTACAAGCTAGAACGGCTCCCCGCAGATAGCAAATGGAGGCACTCGGTAGTCATGCAGAAAGCCCACAAAATTCGTACATACAGCACCCACCACACCTCCATCTTCACTACTTCACCAAGAAATACACTAAGCCAGCCTAGTACGTGTAGAGATGGAGTGGACACCCCGGCCTCAGCCCTTCATTTTGAACTACGACGGCCGGGCTACCCGATAGCAGATAAGCAAGCTATCTCGACGTGCATTGTCCCTCCGCGAGAAGGATGCTGCTATCTAAGGGCTTGATCTACCCACTGCGGATCGGTGGATTTACAATGACTGGCTAGTATCTATGCGTGTATATAAAAACCCCAGCCTTTTCATAACAACAGTTTTAGATCGGCCATGTTATGGATCAAGGAAGACAAATGTCTCTATATGCTTACGAGATCGCGTGATGAATAGCATTTCGCTTGTGCAGCGAGTTCCGTTCTCAACGGCAGGCACTACAGGCAACGTCCAACTTTGCCTCCGTCTTTTTCTTTGTTGTCCCACTTTCTGCTCCCTTGAAGGCAGCCATGCGCCAGGTATGCTCGTGTGGCCAGCACATGGTCTGCTATGGTTGAAGCAATGAAATTTAGGCGAGCGTGGAACCGTTTTCTGCGGCGGTCTCCTGGAGCCAGCATGATGAAACCAGCCTCGAAGGCACGTCGTAAATAGTAGTAGAATAAGTTGAGCACATATTTCTCTCAGTGGCAAGCTGACTAAGTCTTTATGACAACCTGTCGACTATTCCGTATACTCCTTCACGCTGGTCTAATAGACCAGCAAATGCGGGACCGGGCCTCGTAGCCTAGGAGTATTGTCTTATACTTACCAAATGCATCAATGAGATATCATGCCCGAGACTAAAATTCGTGGTGTTTCAATATTCCACGGCCAAAGTATCCTTCAGCCCTAGCACTGCCGCCGACTGGGTAACAGCACGACATGACTTATGACCATTTACAAATTGATTGACAAGAACCGTGGCCCAGTGAAGGGAGCACCATTACGATCGCTTGGCAGTTGACCTGCTTCCTTTGCTTGGTCTAAACTAACATCGAAGCCCAGATAGGTCAACCTTATTTATATTGTTGACCGTTGTGTAGAGTTGACGTGGATGAGCTAGTCGCCTTGCCGACAAGTTGTACTCAATTGGAACTTGCCCTAAGCTGGTAGAAGTTTGCCGTATTGAGACGATTCAATTAGTTGCTGGCGAACTATCGATCCAAGTTTCACTACCTCGAGCCAAGTTTCCACATCTATACGCGGCAAAGACTAGACTTCTCCAACACAGGTTGATCGATTGGCATTTTGGCCAAGTATAGGGTTGGAAAGGGATTAATTTGCAAGTTCCTCGTCTGAGTACGAGATAGTAACATCATAAACAAACCTTATAATCCAACATACAAAACATAGTTGTACTGGTACGTGGGAGGACACCCGGACATAGCCCAGTATATTCAACTTTCCTTCCTTGGTTCAAGTAATTTAGCAAAAGCTCACTAATACCAAAGTGTGATTGTGGCGGCCCTTGTAAATACCTAATTGACCTTCTCTTGCAAAACCGGTTCGCATGCCAGGCACGGTTGTGTTCACCAGCTTTGAATAAATACCCTCGTTACTGTTTACAGGGTTTCGACGCCCACTTCTATGACTTATAACATGCAGGACATATTTCTTTGTTGTGGGGATATCTCTGCGTCCGGTTCGGAGATGAAGGGATGTTGTGTGGGTGTATGAGCTCGGCGCAGAAGTCTGAACTGGCGAGACACGCTCCAGAGATCAAAGGCGAAGAGCGCAAAGGCAAAACAAGAGCTTTTTTGCACTAAGGAAGCCCAACTTCCTGTGGAGAGACGGTTCAAGTGCTGTGATTAGGCCATTTGTTGGAGGAATATACGACGGGAAAATCTCGCACCACACAGCGTTCCCTGGCATCATTTACAACAATCCGACGATTGCATGTGTCGTTCACTCACTGGGACGTACCAAGGTATGTAAAAACCGTGGTAAATTCGGTGAAAAAAA